AAGATTTTAGTCTTTGACATTCCCTTCCCCTCCGCACCCTTGTCCACCCCCATGCTCCTCTCTCGGCCATGATAGCACCATAGGGGTAATCTCAAAATCCGGTTTGACAATGTAAGTGTTGTTGACCTCAGATCTGCCTTGAGGACTCACTAAGCTTCTGTTCCTTTAGTGGTAACACTTGTATTTTGTGAAACCAATTGCTTAGATCAGGGAGTGCATGTGTATACGAATACATACATTTATATATTCATACACATACATTCATAAGTATACAGTGTTGATAAAAACCATTAAACTCTTTTGAATACAATACTCATCAGGGGATATATTAGTTTTTTTGTTTTTGTCTTAGAGAAATCATTTTTAGAGCCCTCTGTCCTCCTACGCAAATCTGGACCTGCTTCTCTCTAGGCCTCTGACTGCCTTCACCCTAGACTTCCCTTCGCCATCATGCTTGGGATCCCCTTTGCCTCTCTCCTCTGTTAAATCCCTTGTTTCCAAGAGTATCCTGTCCTTCTCTCTCTTCAACTGCTTCCTCATTTTAGCGACTCACATTCTCCAGGAACTTCTTCAGAAAGAATGTCTGGAAATATTGCTATTATCCTTGCAAATAATTGCTATTTTGGTGGGTATAGACTTCTGTCCTGGAAATTTTTTTCCTTCAGAAAGCTTTAGGGACTTCTCTATTGGTTTCTAATTTTCAATGTCATTTAGACATCCAAAGCCATCCCAATTCCTAATTATTTGTAGGCAAAATCCATCCCCTTCTGAATCACTAGAAGCTTTTAGAATATTCTCTTGAACCAGATGCTCTGAAATTCCATGATGATTCCTTGGTGTGGTCTCTTTTTATTAGTTGTGCTGTGTGCTCAGTGGACATTTTCATTACACATTTGTTCCCTTTTATCTCCATACCCACCTCCCATCTTCCTGCCATACAAACTGCCATCACAATATATTTGTCTACCTTTTATTTGAATGCATTTTTACCAACTGCATTGTGTGTATATTCCTATTTATATAAATACTATATCACACTGTTTCCTTCTTATCTATGTTTTTAAGATACCCTATACCTCTGTGGTATTTGTTGCTCCTAAGTGCTGCATAGTACGTCATGGAATACATCCAACCGTTTTCCTACCTACTCTCCCAGTCATTGATCCTCAGGTTTCTCCAACTCCCCTCCACTAAAAAAACAACACTGGAAAGAGTATCCATGCTCATGTCTCAACCACTCTTTCAATCTGGTCATGTGAGTTTACTGCTGCTGGGAATGTTTTTTGGTATTTTTCTCTTCTTTTACATTTTATGTAACCCTTATTAGTTTAATGTCTGACCTACCCTGATTTTCTTATGTTCATTCAATTTTTATATGATTTCACTTTTATATTCCAATCTTTATATTCCAATATTTACTGTTTTATTACACATTTTTACATCAATTCATTTTACATTAATGTAAATTTTACATTAATGCCCAAGAACTCTTCTTAACTGCTAAATGTTTTCTCTTTATAGCAATCTGTTACTTTGTGGATAAAATTCTTTCTCATCTATTTCTGCTGGTATCAATTATACTTTTTAAAAGTTATCTTCCGCCCCCTGTATTGTTCATATTCCCTCGCTTTTTTCTATCTATTATTTTGTTTTTGTCCTTTGTGTGAGACATTTTCTTTGAATGATAATGATCTCTCGCTGTGTGTTTATATTCACGAGCAAGGCACAAAAGGCTTGTTGGAAACTCTGCATGCATGGTTGGGGCTTGTAGAATGGTGAGCATAGCACCCTCATCCCCTGCCCAAAACAGACAAAAGCTGTGTCTATATCCTAATTCCTGGAACCTGGAACTGTTACCTTACTTGGAAAAGGGGCCTATGCAGATTTAATTAAGGCAAGAATCTTGAGATGAACAGGTCATCCTGATGACCAGGTAACCTTCAATCCAATGACAAGTGTCCTCATAATCATAAAAGAGAAGAGAAGGCACAGACCCTCATGGCAACACAGAGTATCTTAAAAGCATAGGGTTCAATGAAAACAAGAAGGAAACAGGGTGATGTATCATTTATGCAAATAGAAATACACAAGACAGTTCATAAAAATGTCTTCAAATAGAAAGTAGACATTAAATATATTGTGAGGGCAGTTTGTATGGCAGGAAGATGGGAGGTGGGTATGGAGATAAGCCACTGACCACAGATACAGAGACGAGTGACACAGCCACAAGCCAAGGAATGCCTGCAGCTGCCAGAGCAGTGGTTCTCAACCTTCTGGCCCTTTAAATACAGTTCCTCACGTTGTGACCCAACCATAAAATTATTTTCGTTGCTACTTCATAACTGTAATGTTGCTACTGTTATGAATCATAATGTAAATATCTGATATGCAGGATGGTCTTAGGCGACCCCTGTGAAGGGTTGTTCGACCGGGGTCGAGAACCAATAGAGAAGTCCCATGCCAGAGGATGGAAGAGGAAGGAAATAAATGCTCCCTTAGAACAGTGGTTCTCAACCTTCCTAATGCCACGACCCTTGAATACAGTTCTTCATGTTGTGGGGACCTCCAACCATAAAATTATTTTCATTGCTACTTCATAACTGTAATTTTGCTACTGTTATGAATCATAATGTAAATATCTGATATGCAGGATGTATTTTCATTGTTACAAATTGAACATAATTAAAGCATAGTGATTAATCACAAAAACAGTATGTAATTATATATGTGTTTTCTGATGGTCTTAGGTGACCCCTGTGAAAGGGTCGTTCGACCCCCAAAGGGGTCTCGACCCACAGGTTGAGAACCGCTGCCTTAGAGCCTTCAGAGGAAGTATGACCCTGCTTGAGTTTGGACATCTAGCCTCCATAATGTTGAGGAATTAATTTCTCTCACAGTTTAAGTAAGCCACCTAGTTTGTGGTCATTTGTTTTGGTAGCCATATCACCTCGCTGAGGTGATAGGTGGGAAACATTTCTCTGGTCACCTTCAATTATCTGTATACGTAGGTCTTTCTTCAAGCTTAATAGTTTCCCACAAAGAAAATGAACTCCCCACCGACACTCTGAGCTCCTGCCAGATGGCTCTAGTTCTGAGAGTCACACAGTCAGGTGGCCTGGAGGACTGAAACTCAATTTGTGGACTATCATTTAAACCCTCCTGCTCTAGCCGCAACATATCACCTCCACTCTCAGATGCACCAGATGTGACCATTCCCAGCTTCTCCCGTTCAGTCTCTATGGGGAGTAAGACTTCTTTGTCTGGGGCGAAGGCTGGGTGTAGCAAATCCCTGTCAGCACTGTGTGTGGGGAGAGATCTAGGATGCTGGGGAGAGGACTGCCAAGTGTTCCTTAAAAGGACCTTAGACCAGTCCTCTTATTTTTAGCACCACCCAGACTCCAGCTCTCAGACATACCTAGTGCCTCTAATTCCCGGGCCTCTCTAGGGCCCTGTAGGGTTACAAAGCAATCATCATGCAAGAAATTTAAACCTTAGCTTCCCCACCACTGGGTCAGTTGGCCTTTACTCTCTATCTTCAAAAATTGTTGACATCTCTCATCTGTTGTCATTTCTTCTCCTGTTCTTTTTGTCACTGAGCCTGTCTTAAATTTTACTTCCTGTGTTAGTAGTTACAAGAGATGACCAAGTGGTTCAATCTGCCATGTTTAAACAGACCCATCACCTTAAATGTTTTCTCTTGACGAACTTATGCCACTCAGACAAGAAAGTTCAATTTATTCAGAAAAGTGTAAGACCCTCTAAAATCTACTGTGGTGTTTTCATTCCTATCTTATACCTTTCATTCCCCCAAGTGAGATTTCCACTCTAAGTTTGGTTGCATTACAGTCTCTTCACTTTCCATGACAAGTCCCCTTTCTTCATCTTCCATTATGGTATGGTGCTCCCATTCCTGGAATTTTTATGCCCATATTTTCTATCTTATCTTATTACATATGTAAGCACAGAACCAGCCCAAACAGGTGCTGTCTTGTTTCTAGCAAGACCCAGAACCAAAGTTTAAACCTTGGATATACCACTTTGAGAAACACTTGTAAGGCCTTAACTGCTCCCCACCAAGCAATCAAAGGACCAGAACCTGACGGAACCGACCACCAGAACACTTGCAGAAGAGAAGGGCCCGCTGTCCAGGAATATCTGGTGCTGAAATTCCTTAAATCTTGCTCCAAACCTCCAACTGGGGAGACAGATTTGAGCCTTGTCTCCTGTTACCTTCCCGATCAATCTTGTAATAATATCTTTTACTTTTCTCAAAAGCTGGTGTCATAGCATTGGCTTCTATGCACATCAGGCAGCAAGCCCTTGCTTGGTAACGCATTTTATTCCAAGCAAAATCCTGACACTTCACAAAACCATCTCTGATAACATCAGACGATACAGATTTGTCCCTTCCCCCAAACAAATGACCTGCATCTTATACTAGTCGGTCAAAGAACTCCCATTCCCTAATAGTTTCAAGTATTTGTGTTGCCCTCTCCCCAAAACATAAGGTCCTTAAAGGTAGGAACCAGGCCTCATGCTTCACATGCTCCTTACAATGCTTCCCATGGCCGTGGACACTGAGTACTGGATGAGTGATGTGCACTAATCCAAGCCTCAAATATGCTCTGATGTCCAATACATGATAAAGAATCTTTTGAGGGTAGAGCCTGTATCTTATTCAACTTTATATCCCTAACAACCAGCAAGAGTTTGACACAGACTGCCGAGTGACTAAATGAAAGGATGGATGGATAAATGAACTCTCAGTAGGTACTGTCTTCAATGTTGTACCTGATCTAAGGATTTTCTTACTTCCTAAGAATAATAAAGATGACTAGAAAGATAATTCACTACTGCATTCCCAACATGGGGAACACCACTCGGCACAGAGGGGCTGCTCGGTCAATGTCTTCTAAATGAAGCTTCAATGAATGAATCTGCCCTGAGTCAGGAGCATCGGTTTACGGTTAGAAAGAGGTTAAAAGGAACATGTGGCTTACCCGGAAAGCACTCCCAGGACTAGGTTGAGAACAAAGAAGGATCCAATGATGATGAGGGGGATGAAGTACAGCCAATTCCAGGTGGCTCCTAAGGCATCATTGGTCTGAAAGAAAGAAACATGGTTCCTTAATAATTCATCCAAACCATGTGCCAGCGGAAGGCCTCTGTGCGTGCAGCTTCCCACAGAGGATAATGTAATAAGCACAGTGCAATGCAGTTAGGCACTGCCTCGCTCCACTCCCAATCTGGCGTAACTGTGGGTTAACTCACTCTTCCATATGCGTAGAGAAGGACATTGCATCAGCCTCATGTCACATCCTGAGCTGCAATAGTCTTAACATCCTCACTTAACAGATGAGAGAACAGAATGCAGAAAGGTCAACCACTTTTCCAAGATCACGCAAACAATCCCTGGCTTTACAGTGTTGGATGCTGTGGCTTCTAAGTTTCTGCTTTCTGCATTGGACCAATTCTCAAAAAGACAGGGGCAGGCTGTGCCCATCCCTCTATTCCACAGATGCTGGCCAAGGCCCTGACAGGGTTGCATTGGGAGATATGAGGGCCACCCACATCCTGCTCAGCCCTTGACCTGACCTGACCTCTGGCTCTCTGGGCTCTGGCTTGCTTTCTTCCATTATAGTCCCATATTACAGAGCTGGCCCAGGCTTGGCCCCGCAAGGCTCTGGACAAAACAATGAATAAATCTAGATTTGAAGAGTGATCCTTGCTCTCTTTTGAATGCTAACACACAGTGACATGAAAAATGCGTGATATTCTAGATTTTTAAAAATTCTTTATTGTTGAAAGTATTACATGTCTCCTTTTCCCCCCATTGACCTCTCCCCACCTGCCCCCATCCCCTGATATTCTAGATTCTTATACCGCAAGGTAAAGGCAAGGCCCTTGAATGGTGGGGGCTGAGGGAGCGTTACGCCACATGATGTAGCCAGTACCCGTTCTTTGTCAGCAAGGACTGAGTCTGCTCCCAGCACCCAGATCAGAGTTCAGTTGCCAATAAACATTAGTTGGTGTCAGCGATGGCGACGGTGACATTGTGACCTTTAAGGTGTCTTTGGGCCCAGGAGTGAATGAGCTACAGTGTGAAGAGAGCTAAAGCAATTTCAGTTGGGTGACTATTTGCCGGAGATGCTGTAGAGCAAGCATGTCAAACTCGCAGCCCATGGGCCGCATAATTTGTTTATTTGGCCCATGTTAGCCTTTGAGTTTGACATGCTTACTGCAGGGTGTTACCCAAATTGTGTGGTTGTTGCCTGAAGTCGGTAGGCTATTCATGTGTTCTGCGGAAAATGGGCTTCTATAACCAAAGAAACTTGGGAAACACAGCAAATTATATTTCCCCCCGAGCCTGTGAGAAGACCCACACACAAAAAAAGGAGCATTAACTTTGTTTATTCCATCATTTTATACACTTCCTTGATTATAAAACATCCTTTCTCAAGGAAAATCCATAAACATCTCAGGAAGTAGAGCCTGTGAAATGCAGGGATAAAAGGACTCCCCTCACGGCCCCAGAGTCTGGAACCTGCTTCCTAATTCTTCTAGAAAATACCAATGATGAACAGTGTCTTTTTATTCAGTGTTTTGTGAGAATGTTTTTGGTTTTGCTATAACATACACTAAGGCAACAGCCTTAACTGTCTGCTCATTTCTGTACCTGGCACCTAATGAAGTGTTTGGCACATATAGTTGCTCAATTAATCAATAAACAACCATGATTTGAATAAGATGATTCTCATGTTTGAAATATACCCATTCTGATATCCCCCTCTCCATCTGTGCTGCTCTGTCTGAATTGCTTTAAAAAGGAAAAAAGTCATCCACTATGGTACTGGGGCCTGTTGCATGAACAAGAGAGGAGGAAGGGAAGATGGGGAGAAAAAGGAATCTGGGAGGAGCCCAGCACCAGCGGCATGAGGGTGTTAGAGATGACTGACAGCTTAAAAGGTTCTTCTGGAGAAAACAGCTTGACAGCCCAGAGATTACTCACAAACCTTTTTAACAGACTTGCCACCCCCTCTGAACACCTTTCTCCTCTCCCTCCCATCCTTCCTCCCCAGGTGGCCTCACCCTCACATCACCTCGCCTGTCAATGGATCAATGACACACCCAGTCCCTGTGCTCCAAGTCACATGCCTCAGCAGGAGGGGGCAGGCAGAGGACTTCACACTTCCCTCCTCCAAATGGCAAGGTTCTTTCTGATGCTAATTAGAGCTTCAATCTCCTTCTGATTCATCATTATTAAAACAACCATAAAGCTGTCCAGTGTAGGAGAGATGACTACTCAAGTGTCTTCTGAGATTCAACAAGAAGCACGAAACCGACAACTCCCAGGGCAGCAAGGGCCCCGGGACCACGTGAGGTCGAGTCAGGGCCGCCAAGCAGAAAACGCTGACAGCTGTGCCTATTCTCTCCGGGGCATGTATGTCTGTACCCCAAAGGGGGTGGGAGAATTTCTCCCTCTCCTTCCTTCTCCACGGTGCCCCCTGCCGCCGCCCTCTGCCTCTGTGACTCTGACAAGAGGCTAGCTTGCAGGATCATCACACTTAATTTTCCCTCAGGACTCACTCTTCCTTCAGAAACAGGGCAGCCGTGCTAAGGTCTCTGACTGAGCAAGATCCTGGGGAAGGAGACCCACAGCTTTCCAACGCACCCCGCACGACTCTGGCCCCAGAGTGTCTCGTAGTGAACCTTTCCCAGATCTCTCCTGTGGAGCGCAAAGTGTAAACCAGGCCCCTCCCTGCAAAGAAAGCTACACAGAGGGCCAGCCTCCTCCTTCCCGCCATCACGGAGCCCCTGCTGAGTGCCAGGCATCACAGAAGCAGGCTACGTGCTATGCTTTGTGAGCAACGTCCTCTTCATCTAAGATGCTGCGTCCCCTCCCACCCAGCCCGGCGCAGCCCCAGACTTCTCACCTGCCGAGTCCCTGAGTGACACACACATGCACACGTGCACACGACGGGCATGTGCACACGACGGGGTGGTGACAGACAGAAGGCAGTTGCGGGTGGCAGCCCACCTGCACAGGAGTGCTCAACGGGGCCCAGTACTGACACAGAGGGAATGTGCTCCTCTGGGAAGCTGCCTGGTTGGGGGTGGTGAGCGCACCCACTCCCTGCGTACACAGGCGCACAGGGCAATTATCACATTAATCTCAGGGGGACTGGGGAAGCTGGAGGAAGGTGGGGAGCAGGGTGGAAGAGGAACAGAGGGATGGCGACAGCAACAGGAAGGGGTCCCTGGTTCTCCGGCCTGAGGCTGCAAGGGCCGGGCTGGCTCCGCCCATGGAGACAGGGCTCTAGGAAGGTCCCACAGGGCTCTGCGGAGAAGGAAAAATCGCCTCTCAGAGCAGCTTTGGCCCGAGGCTAGGTTGGGACTGAAATTAGGATACTGACTCCAGGGTCCCTTTTAAAAAAAAAAAATGAAGGGACCTGCTCCCCAGACTGAAGGCAGCACCTGCTGGCAAGCCCTGGACTGAGTGACAGCAGGTTGCTCAGCCTGGGCTGGAGAACTCTTCCTTGTGGGGTCTGTCCTGTGGGGTGCATTAGCAGCATCCCTGGCCTCTACCAGGTAGGAGCCAGTCGCTCGCCCACCCCCTGTTGTGACAAACAAAAGTATCTCCAGAAACTCCAGTGTCCTGGGGCTGGGGTGAGGGGCCCCAGCCTCTGGGCTCCACCTCAAAAGAGAGATCTCTGGGATTCCCAACCAACTCAGGCCCAGGGATGGCTGCCAAGAGGCCAGGCCATTCGTCTTAGCAAACGCAACTGTGCAAGGCCTCTGCCAACCACCCCAGAGAGAAAACTCAGAGAGGGCAAGGGGGGGGGCATAGAAGCCGAAGATAGATTCAACTGCCGAACACCTTCCCTAAGGGCAACACATCTGGGCATTTGCTTCCCTGTGGCCCCCACATCATTCCAGCACCCAGTGCGACAGCTCCTTCCCCATCCAAGGGACCGTGGCTCAGAGCGGAATGCCGCATTGGCATTGTGCTCAACAAATCTGTGGACCACCCAGTGTGTGGCAGATACTCTTCTAGGCCTTAGAGATAAGTGAAGAGCAAATAGTCTCGGTCATGGCCGGTGTAAAACAGTATAGCGGACGGATCCACATTAAAGAGATGAGCACACAAGTATTTGCATAACTGAACTGGTGAGTGTGCTGATGTGCAGCTGTGTCTGATCACACCCAGGTGCTCAGGAAAGGATTTGTGAAGCTTTTGGAGAAAGGAATCACATGAGACTCCAAGAAACTACCTTCACTGAGACAGCAGAGGCCAGAAATGGAGAGAACAGGCTCATATGGAGGTGAAAGTGGAGGAAAAGGTTAAGTTTAAGAAATGTCAAGAGGTGGGTGACATAGAAGAAAGAAAAAAAGGAGGGGAGGGCTTCTGGAATGAACCCCACCAGACCCATGTGGATGTTCTACTAAACCATATGCCCAGGGCTGCCCACAAGCCCCTTCCTAGGTACCATCTACCCTCGGCAAATGGGACATCATCCTGACTTAGGTCACCCAGATCAGGAAATCTCGCCTGTACATCTATCTCCCTGCGTACACCGAGTCACCACGTTCCCTCTTTGCTCAGGACTCCCGTTCAGAATAGCCCTTTCCCTCCTCCATCCTGCACCTTCCCTGTCCAGCACTCACCTGCTGTGGCAGATTCTGGGCTGTACCCGCTCAGGTCCCCTTTACCAGTAGGTGCGCCCATCCCCTAGCAGTTATACGTGAGAGCTAAGGGCTCACCTGCACATGATCAGAAGCCTGTCTCTGCCTCACCTGTGAGTTTATGCCAGCCTATGGGGTGGGGGGGAGACCTGCCCCAATAACTAACCGATGTGGGGCTACTATTGGCCCAGCCCCTTTGCCTCTGAGTGGGACAACCTCTGAGGTATAATCCACACTCCGGAGCTACCAGTGGGATCAGGTTGGAGGTTACAACCATTGAAACTAAACTTCGCCTCGTATCCTTACCAGTCCCCTCTTAATTTTTCAATAAATCGTTGCCACGAGAATCTCCTACCCTGAATCAATGTATAAGAAACCTGACTGAAGGCATGACATCCCTTTCTCATCAGGGTTTTGAAC